ACCCTAAAACCCTGAACCCTCCCTCCCCTGGGCCTTGAGGAGCTCCGCCTCTACTTCTTTCCATCCCTTCTTCTGGGCAAAGTAGGCGGGAGTCCTTCCGAAGAAGTTCACGGCGCTCGTGTTCACCCCTGCCTGAGCAGACGGGTTTAGGGTTTAGGAAGGCCGTATACCGAAATTTGTCGGGTCCAGGATCCTAAACCCTTAACCCTAAACCCCTAAACCCTAAACCCCTAAACCCCTAAAACCCTAAAACCCTAAGACCCTAAAACCGCCTGGATCAGGAAGCGCACGGCGCCGACCTGGCCCTTCTGGGCTGCAATGTGCAGCGGGGTGTTTCTGAAATTGTCTTCCTCCTCCATGTCTGCTCCCCCCTGCGCGAGCACTCAGGTTAGGGTTTGGGGTTTAGGGTTTAGGGTTTAGGGTTTAGGGTTTAGGGTTTAGGGTTGAAGCAAGCCTTTGGCTCTCTCAGCTTTGCGGCTCTCGCAAGAAAGGAACACACAGAACCCTCGGCAACCCTTTGCGGATTCTCATCCTTTCAGACTCAGCGTAAGGCTACGGTCTGGAAAGACGTGAGAAGAAGAAAGACCCTGCGTGGCCATCGAGGCAAGGCCTGGTGAAGCTCCTCCAGCACCGCCACGTATCCGCCGCCGGCTGCCAGGTGGGCCGGAGCGAATCCCCCGTAGTCAAGACGGTTCACGGCGCTCGTGTTCACCCCTGCCTGAGCAGACGGAAGGCCGTATACCGAAATTTGCCGGGTCCAGGATCTTAAACCGTTTTACCTGAGACGGCCTGAATCAGGAAGCGCACGGCGCCGACCCTGCCATTCTTGGCTGCAAGGTGCAGCGGGGTGTTTCCATCATAGTCTGCCTTCTCCATGTCGATTGGAGGTCTTTCCCTAGGCTTGGCCCGGTGAAGCTCCTCCAGCACCGCCACGTGTCCTTCGCGGGCTGCCAGGTGGGCCGGAGTCCATCCTCCGTCATAGGTTCTCTGATTGAAGTCATCACCATAAACCTCACGGAGGGCGGGAAGGAGCTTCTCTGCCGAAGGAGGGAGCAGTTCAAGTTGAGGGGGACACTTCCAGAGCCTCGTGGAGGAACCACAGTGCCGCCGAACGGTTGTATGCTGCGGCATAGTGCGCTGCCGTCCATCCACTCTGCAAATTGGCCCCCAAATTGGCCCCGGCCTGGGTGCGCAGCTGCAAAAGGAAAGGGAGCGGCGCTTTGCGATCAATCAAAAACTTGCAACTGCAGCACTTTCGCAGCCCTTATTAAAAAGCACACGCATGCTACTGCAGACACCTCTTTAAAACACCTGGGCCTTGCGGAGCGCCGCAAGCGCCGACACGTTGCCCGTCTGGGCTGCCTCTGTCACAGCCCAGATGTCGAAGGTAATGGTCGTGGTGGAGGTCGTGGTGGTGACGACTTCCGCCGTGGTGTACTCGTAGGCCCGCTGCGTGGTGTACTCGTAGGCCTGATGCGTGGTGTACTCGTAGGCCTTCTGCGTGGTGTACTCGTAGGCCTTCTGCGCGGTGTACTCGTAGGCCTGCCGTGGGGACACCGGTTTAAGGAGCTTGAGGATCGGAGGCCAATTTTCTGAACCGAGACTTCGGGGTTGAGGGCTGCACCAGAATTCTGATAAGGCAGAGGGCACCAGATTCTCCTGTAGCTCCATGATCAAGCTTCCGGGTTTCAGGGCTCAGGGCTGAAGATACTGGAGTTCGGCTCGGGATATGCTGCTTATGATAAGAGGCCAAAAGCTCCGCGCAACGTTCTTTGTGTCCACCTTTTCCTATCGGGATCTAGCTCCATGATGGTGTGCCTCTGCCTTTTAAAACCACGAAGGAGCTCAACAGGAGAGCGTTCCTTTCAGGTGTGGGGTTTAAGGCTCTTGGCACCAAAAAGGTGCACTCTCAGAGGAGCTAGGACGGCTGGGAAAGGAAAAAGTGCTACAGCTACCCCTCCTTTCCTCTGCAAGGCCTCGAAATCTCCACTGGTGCTCCCCCAGCTGGGAGCCGTGGTGGTGGTGGTATGGGCCTGCCGTCAGGAGGCGAGTTCTCGGAGGATGAACGAAATGCTTAAATCAACGAGAGATCACAATGTAACCCACATGAAAACTACATTCCTCACGGTTTCTGACTCTGGAGTTCACCTCGGGACGGGGCTTCCTCACGGGCCGCGGCCGAAAACTCTATTTAGGGTGTGGCTTTAGGGTTAATTCTGTAAAGCCCCTAGGCACCTTCCCCCGAGCAGTTCCGATGCAGATCTTCGTCCGTGACCCCGCCTTGGGTACCTTTTCGGATCCCTTCCTCTGCTTCTTTGGAGCCCCAGCGCAGAACTCAAGGCAGTGTCCCCTAAACGCTACATACTACCATTACTACCCTATAAACCCTAAACCCCTAAACCCTAAACCCCTAAACCCCTACACCCCAAATACTACCACTACTACCCTACCCCTAAAACCTAAACCCTAAACCCCCTAAACCCTCAATACCATCCCTCCCCTGGCCTCGAGGAGCTTGGCTACGTGTGACCATCGGTATCCCCTGGCGCAGTCAATGGGAGTCTTTCCCTGGAAGTTCACGGCGCTGGTGTTCACCCCTGCCTGAGCAGACGGAAGGCCGTATACCGAAATTTGTCGGGTCCAGGATCCTAAACCGTTCTACCTTAGACAGCCTGGATCAGGAAGCGCACGGCGCCGACCCAGCCCTTCCTGGCTGCAATGTGCAGCGGGGTGTCTCCTTTATCGTCTGCCTTCTCCATGTCTGCTCCCGCCTGGGCGAGCACTCAACGCGAACGACACCCTGCGTGGCCATCGAGGCGTGGCCTGGTGAAGCTCCTCCAGCGGCGCCACGTATCCGCTTTTGGCTGCCAGGTGTGCCGGAGTCAATGATCCGTCATCGGTTGTCGCATTCAAGTCAACACCAACCTCACGGAGGGCGGGAAGGAGCTTCTCTGCCGAAGGAGGGAGCAATTCAAGTTGAGGGGGACACTTCCAGAGCCTCGTGGAGGAACCACAGTGCCGCCGAACGGTTGTATGCTGCGGCATAGTGCGCTGCCGTCCATCCACTCTGCCAATGTCCGATTGGAAGCAATTTGGCCCCCAAATTGGCCCCGGCCTGGGTACGCAGCTGCAAAAAGGCAAGGGACCGGCGCTTTGCGATCAATTACAAACTTGCAACCACAGCACTTTCGCAGCCCTGATCAAAAAGCACCTGCATGCTACTGCAAACACCGCTTCATAAAACACCTGGGCCTTGCGCAGCTCCGCAAGCGCCGACACGTTGCCCGCACAGGCTGCTTCTCTCACGGAGATCGCAAGCAGCTTCACCCGTGTCGTAGTGGGCGACGGGCTCGTCGTGTTCGTGGTCGCGGTCGGCTGCAGGCTCTGGGCCGGGTCGTCCTACAACATGAGGCCCCAAAAAAACACAAGAAATGGAAGCTTCCATTGAAGTAGCTGGCTCTCCTTCATAGTAGCAATGATTTGCAATAGCAATAATAACAAGAACAATAATACTAATACTCATTTACTCATCCGCAGACCTGGAGGAGGAGCTCTACTTCCTGCTCGTACGCACAGGCGCTGATGTCGGCCGGAGTCTTGCCGTTCTTGTTGACTGCCGTCGTGTTCACGCCTGCCTGGACAAGCTCATGGGGTACGTTTAGCGGGCACTGGATGCTTCGCAAAATGAAACTGAAGGCGCATGCAGGGAGAGTGGGGTGCATCGGCCTGGCCTGGATCAGGAAGCGCACTGCCTTCACCTCGCAGTAGAATGCGGCAGCGTGCAGCGGCGTGTCACCTGCGTTGTCCGCCGCCTCCATGTCGGCTCCTGCCTTGCCCAAGTCTGCTTTGTTTAGTCACCCGGACGGCTCAGAATTAGGGGAACTTCGCGTGAGGAACCGTAACCCCAAGAGAAATCTTGCATTTGGCCGTTTAAGTTTCAGTCGAACGCCACGGCATGGACACCATGCCGGGCGAAGGCGAAAGCTGGCAAAGTTTGGATGCTCTCAGCTGCGTGGCCTCGTGCAGAGCCTCCAGCGCCTCCACGTTTCCCTTCTTGGCTGCCACATGGGCCGGAGTTTGTCCAAACTTGTCCGTCGCATGGATGCTGACACCAACCTCACAGAGCGGCGCCAAGGGCGTCTCTGCCGAGAAGAGGAATAAGATGTTTATGGCTTATACCTATATTATAATATATATATATATATATATATATATATGCTCACCCCCCCCCCAATTGACAGACCCTGTGTCTGAAAAACAGCACAGAGGACGCTCATCTAGCAAGGAAAATCTTTACAGTCGATGCAGAACATATACATGTAACATGCCGTATACTCAGGACATGGTTTAGATGCGCGGATACGAGTGAGGGTAGCGGTGATGACGACGAACGGCGAATCCAAAACAAATCGCTCCTATCAGGCGCAGCTGTTGAGAGAGAGTTTCGACATGCATTGAAGCACAAATCGTTATGTTCGTGATTGCAGCCACATTGTGTATCTCACCGTTACAAGCCATCACGCCCGTCCCCCATTCAAGTGTCATGGATCCCGAGAACATTACTCTCGCGAACGCGGCGCAGGCCACCTCAGACTTATGGATACGTGTTCTTCCGCAACATGTAAAAGTCGGTCCTATGCCAGCAGGTCCCGTATCTCCATTGACGCTTCCTGTTCGTGAGCTTGAATCC